AAAGAAAAAAAAAAAAAGAAAAAAATCAGTGAACTTAATATGTCAAAAGCATATGCAGAACAAAGCCACATGTAACAAGAAAAGCACACAACTTTGGATTTAAATCAGTACACAACAACCAAAACAAAACAAAAAAAAAAAAAAAAAAATTTGCTTAAAAAAAAAAAAAAAAGATGAAATTCAGATGCGCTAACCAAAATGACTCGTCTAAACCTACACACTATAGCACAACGGTAAACTCAAAAAACCAAATTCAGATTCGAAGCCAGAACTAGTAATCAAGGCATGAGTAATGCATCAACACACAAACATTAAACAAAATAACTCTAAACGAAGTGATTAAGAAAACAAAAATTGTTTTTAAATATTTGCAGGAACACCATAAGTGATCAGTGGACAACATTGCAAAAACACAACTATGGCCAAAAACAAATGTTCTTAATGCATCACACACCTAGCCTAGTTCTTATCATATTGCTGTAAGAGGCCCATTCCTAACCAAACAGTCTAAAAAAAAAAGAAAAAGAAAAAAAGGAAAAAAAATTCTATTTTCAGAAATGCAAAAAGGTACCATATATACTTGCCGTGGCCTAAAATAAACCACCAGTGACCCCCACCCCCTCCTGAAATGAGGTACAAAAGTACATCCCATAATTATATGTCACCATTCAGCTGGAATCAAATCCAACAAAACATTTTCTCATATCGCTACCTCAGAAGTACTAAGTTGAGTTCTATCTGACAGTTTCTGCCGTTTTGAGTTACCAACATCATGAGATCAGAAACAAAATGTGCTTTCCGCTCTACCAAAATCATAAGATTATCCAGAGTCATTATCAAGAAGTTCTAAAAATTGTATACGAGAAAAAGCTTGACATTACGTGAAACTCAAAGTCTTTGACGTCAAATTTCTCAAAACTACGTTCTGAGCAGATAGAACTTTGTAATTTTGAGGTAGCTGTATGTTGAGCCCATCCAGCATTTCAGAAATTCATCCCCTATTAGGCTATTATGCCCGCCACCTAGAAAAATGGGTCGATTTTGAGTCCAAGTAATATATATATATATATATGTAGGCTATCCCCCTCCTTCCCCACCATCCCCCCTCGTATCTTAAACCAGATCGCATTATATATAGGCAAGTACATACCCCAAATAACAAAGAAAAACATGGACATACACTGAGCATTGCAGACAGAATAAACTGTTCAACAAAAAAATATAAAGAAAGCTATCAAAATATTCCTTGTGACACAAAATGAATAGAAAATTGTGAGTGTGCATGCTGCCCATTGGTGTTTCTGTATGAAGTTATTTAAAAGTAAGTTCCACTCTCTGTCTCTCTGTCCCTCTCTCATCACACACCCATGCAAAAAATACTTGTCAAACATTTGTATTCACATACATGTGGGACCATCCATCCACAGACATACATCCACACACATATGCACTTACTCAAAAACAAAAACACACACACATACACACTAACCAACACACACACACACTAACCAACCAACACACACACACACATACACACAAACCAACACACACACATACACACTATCCAACACACACACATACACACTAACTAACCAACACACACACACACACACCCACAACACCCACACACGTTACACACCCCTC